ACACACTAATAATGAGTAATCAGATAATTTCGTTTAAATTCCAATTATATGTTCTGAGATAGTTTAACTTTAAGTTAAATTTAAAACATTTGCAGTAAAAGTTTAATATTTTTTACAGATGAAAGAAAAAAATGCCTTTTTTTTTTTTAATTATTTATTATTCTCAGGTACTATTAGCCATTCGACGTTCAAATCGACTACATAGGAGACAAAGTACGGTACCCGATGAATCGTTAAAACAAGCGGAACGAAAAGAACGTCAAATATCAATAATGCTTATTGCAATTGTACTCGTTTTCCTATCTTGCAATACATTAGCATTCGTAGTTAATATTCTAGAAAATGTTGGCTATGACAATGCTCTTTACGTTTCGCTTGTCACTTATAACAATTTCTTGGCAAGTCATTTAATTTTTTTTTTCAATTTTTTTTTTTTTTTTTGCACAACACTTAATGAATTGTGAAGCTAATTTCATCATTATTACTGAAATACTGATATTAAAATTGGATATTTCGCATTGATTATTTCCTAAAATTAAGTTAACTTGAAGCATATTACTATTTCATAAGCCAAATAAAGACATTATTAAATTGTGAAAAAATTAATCACATAAAATTTAATTAATTAAACTAACAATTATAAGTTTTGAAAAGTTGTTAAAAGTGTGCTAGGAGAATATTTGCAAAAAAATAAAGGAAAGAAATATGAAAAAAAAAAAAGATTGCAATCAAATTAAAAGAGAAAATTTTGAAATAAACATAACTAATATTTGTGAATTTGAAACTTTGACAAATATTTATTTGTGCATTCGTGAAGTATATTTAACACAAAAAAAAGTGAAAAGCGATTTTTAAATGAGATCTGTCATGAATTTTAGATCCCTCAGTCATCAATATTTTTCAACTTTTTTACACTTGTTATTTATAGAAATATTTAAGTTTTCATTTCGTATGTATTATCTGTCGTTTAATATCCGAAAAATTTTCACACTATTAAAAATTTTTTTTTTCAGATTATTTAATTATTATATTTTAGGTAATGGTGAATGCATCATGCAACATAGCAATATATATGTTATTTTCGGATAAATATCGTCTATTACTAAGACATTATATGACATGTCATTGGTCAAGGGATGGTGAATTACTTTTAACGACAAATACTGCATAAATTCGAAGTAATTACTTCGAATATAAATTGTGTTGCTTCATTTTAATCAAAATTTCCTTTGAGGGCTATAAAATGTTTCAAATTAATTCATTTAATTTCTTTTTTTCGCAGTTATACTACATGAATAAATTCTTAAACATTTTAAAAGTTAATATTTTCAATTTAAATTATAACAACCTAATGAAAAATAATATAATTGCCCACAGAGGAGAATTTGTTTATAACACGCACGGGTTATTGCTGTAACTTTATGTATGTATGCTATTTGCTTATATAAAAATATTAGACGATCACAGTGATTGTTACAAATTCCGATTTAAGCGTAATAAATTCAACTATTAAAATTTCGCATTAAATTAAATCAATAAAACTACATTTCTTAATAACAAAAAATTGAAGATTATTTGTTCAAAAAAGAGAAAAAAAGAGAGAAAAAATGTTGATAAGGAGAAATTTTAGGAAATGAAACAATTTTAATTTGAGGGAAAAAATGTCATAAAGTACAGAAATCAGATATCATTAAAATATGGAACAAAACAAAATAAGGCAGCTGTTTGAGTTACAATTTAAAATATTTCATAAATTTTGCTAACGAATGAATAAATTGCAACAATTTTTTTTTTCGAAAAGATCAATCAATATTCAACGTATATCAATCACATAGCTTAATGAAATATTATAATTGAAAAAAAAAAGCAGAATATTGAAATGAACAGATAATTCTTGTGATTTGGACGATAATAGCACCCCATTAACACATTATATTGCACAGTTGATTAATGAGAAAAAAAATTTTTCATCACTTTTCATCACTGAATGGAAATATTGTGAAATATAATGCATGGTTTACATAAGTATTAAAATAAATCAAGAATAAAAATGATATAAACAAAATGTAATTCTTACCAGCAGCATTATCCTGAAATGATTGGAAAGATTATAAAAGAGATAAGTGTGGTAAGTATAAAAGAAAAAAAAAGCATAAGCCTTAGTTTGCTATAAAATTATGCAATTAATAAAATTAAATTTCAATTCTTGTTTTTTTTTTCTTTCTGTTTCCCTTTCTTTCTCTTATAAATAGATGAATAAAACAATTATGCATAGATTTCAAAATCTATTCCTATTGATATTTTATAACTCCTAAATTTTCCAACTTTTTAATTTAATTTATTTCTTTCCAATTCTTTTTTTTTTATTTTGTCATTTCAAGCATATAAAAATTCAGTGATTGCATTTTAATGCATAATTAATTTATATAATATTGAACCGATTAATATTATATGATTATATGATGACTGCAAAATAAGTGTTAATTGAGTGGGTTACACAGACTCGTCATGATGACCAGCAAATTTTAAGTATAGTTAAATCGAATCGATTATTGAATTTCTATTCTGATTAAAGATAAGACAATGACGTGAACCATGTTAATGAAGGTCATATTGATAGGGATTTTGGATAATTTACCTGATTTTTTGCTGTCAGTGATTTGAAACTTTATTTTAAATTAATAGCTGCAGTTAATTGTTTACATTATAGCTAATGCGAGCAAAGATGCCTCATCAACATTAATTAGATGCATGACCAGGAAAGGATGTTTCGAAAGTCGGCCAAGTTCGAAAATGGTCATATATGGCATTATTTGATGATTATCTTCATTTACAATCAAAAAAAGCCATTCCACTGAACAACACATTGTCTTTTCCAATGCGCTGCGTTTCAAATCGATTTAAAATGTTAAAAAGTTCCATCTTTTTAACTTCCATCATTAAAACAACTGAGTGCCTTTACATTTTGATGATTGACAAATTTGATAATTTGATATTTAAAAAATTAAAAAAAAATTTAAAAAATGAACAAAAAATGAACAATTTAAAAAAAAAGCAAAAAATTCCAAATAATTCATCATATACCTTATAAAATCCTTTATTGAAAATTTTGCCTTCATTCATCAATTATTTTCGAAATTCAGTGAAATAATGTATGGAGAATGGTATTAAATATTGAATAGGAATGTTTCAAAACAAGATGAAATTTAGAATAAAATCAAAAAAATTCGAAAATTAATTAATGAGAAATTGTTTAGGAGTAAAAATAGTGTATGTATGCACCATCATTTCTAATTCTGATGAGAACGATAAAGAGGATATTAAAAGTAACAAAAAAAAAAAAAAATTAGGATAAGCAAGCGCAGCAATACCAATATCATGAGAAAAATAATTCAGATAGGTGGTAAACAAACAAAAATGATTAAATGAGACAATAAATTAAAGATAACAGAGATTAGCTTTAGTAAGTGAGCTTGTTAATGAATCTCGGCAAATTATTAATATTATCCAGCACAGGGGTCTTTGACAGTTTAATGATGGTACAATGATAATTTTACAAGCCTATGAAAACGAAATCCTTTTTTAGCAAAATACAATTTACATTTAACCATGTCTTAAAAATTTCTGATTTGGCTAAAATTTTACTTTTTAAAAGTGAGTCATTGTTCACCAGAAAAAAGTGGCTCTATAACAAAAAAACACTAAATATTGCTTGAAAACATCATGATTTGTTAACTTCATATGCTTTGTTTTCATGCCATATTTTTATCAACTAATCATTGATATCTGTTAAGGCGATAATATCGGTAATTTTACACCTTATAACATGATTTCTCAAGTCACCAAAAAATTCTTAACTACTAATGATAGACAAAAGATATAGCATATGATTTACTAATGAAAAGAACGATAAAAGTTTCGGTTTTTGTAATGTTTAAATTTGAATAATTGCCGTAAATTCAGAAAAATTCGAACTAGCAATGATCGAATGATCATTGAATAGGAAATTTTATTCTATCAAATGAAATATTGCATAGTCTAAGATTTATCATCAAAAAATTCCAGTGAAATTTTTTTACATCTTTCTAGAAAATTATGAACAAGGAAGAATTTGAAATAAAATCTAAATTAATCCTCCAAAATTAAGCAACTGAACGGTCCATTTTTTTAGATAGGGAAAACTTTCTAGTCATTTTTCATTCAAGAATTTATCCTGAAATGGAATCATTCATGCTTTCTCATCATTCATTTTATATTTTCATAAATTTGTTATATGTCTTTAACAAAATATTATATCTATTCAATTTACATTGTTAAAAATTTTATACTTTTTGTATATACACTATATGTCTAGCAGCAATATTGTTCTTTCTTTTTTTTTGTTCTTTAATCAGTGATAATTTTTTACAGCCAATTAATTTTTCATTAAAATTATACTTTTCTTTAAACTTATCAGATAAAATTCATGATAGTATTGGTTAGACGACAATTGATAATCAATTTATATGGCCTTAAAATTGGGCAATATATATCAGTGATATCATCTTAGTCTTATTTCACACATTTAGAATATATATTATATATTACTCCACAGAATTTTGAAAATGACTAATTATTTGATATTCTGTAAAATAATGAAATCAAATTTTGTGAAAGAAAATACTTAATATTTGTTCGTGATATTATTTAATTTTTTTTTTTTGAAAAATTTGCTTGGAAAAGAGCTATTTTAATAAAGTTTAAACAGTACATTTGCCATCCTTTGGAAACATTTCTCCGCTCATTTTCTCCATAAGATTTATTTTTTTTCTGTTTTAAGCTTTACATTAATAGCATTTTTTTTATATGTTAATATAGTCACTATCCTTACGGAAATGAAAGCTTTAAGTAGTAACTTCGTTTTAAATTACTATGAAATTTTTGCAATATTAATTTAGAAGTGAAGTAAAAGTTTCTTTTTTAAATGAAAATGATATTTATCACTTTTTCACGAATAAGAATCATTCTTCACGTTCCCTTAGTTCTTGTCCAACATTACCATCTAATTCAATTTGTATTTTTGGTCGAAATAGTTTTTCAAATCTCTGCAACAAATTAATGCTTTTGTAGTCATCTTAAAAATGGAGGAAATAATATTAATAAAATAGGTACTGAATTGTTTCACAAATATTAATTATTATTATGCACATGCCTTTACATTATAAGCCTTGATGAAATCTAACAGAAATTTAAAAGAATTAGCAAAAATATAAAGTAAAGAATGCAAACTTATAGACTTAAAAATTATCTGATGAAATAGCCTAAAAACTTTAAGCAATCATAAATGTAACAAATTTAAATAATTTTATCATTACCTCTTTCATTTAGGAAAAGTTAAAAAATCTAATAAAATTAGATAAAATTAGCAAATGTAAAAATAGATATATGATAAAATATACTTGCGAAGTAGTTCCATTGCTGATAATCCATAAATAGACTCCGTAAATTGGAATGCAAAGCATGGATGAAAGAGAAAGAAACCATCCAAATATATGACCCCATAATGGGTAATCATAATTGTATGCATCGATCCGCAATGGTTGGTATTTGGCTAATCCAAAAACCATTACACTCTTTAATTGATTTTAAAATTAAATTCAAATTTCATGATTCGATAGTTTTGAAATTTAAAAAAGAAAACGATTTAATCAAACAAAATGATCCATTAGACAGTCGAAAGTTGTAAATCTGAACGAACTTACTACACCAATTTTTAACAAACTATCATTGCTATATGACCGTCATATTATGATAACCTAACAAGGCAATCATTCTTTGGCTCTCGAATTTTGATTATTCCTCCATCAAACACAAAGAAAAAACGTATACATAAAAAGAATGAAAAAAAGTGCCCAATTAATCAATAGAAAAATTTAAGATATTTAAATTAAAATTTAAATCTTTGTTCATAGAATCTTAGGACATTACTAACCATACATACAATGGGAGTTGCAAAAACCCAACAAAATTTCCACCATCGACTCGGATAATAACCAACCATTGATTTTATATGCTCATACCACTGATCGATGCCTAAAATAAACGATAGCTCAAGTAAATCATGGTTAGAATACTTCATAAATTTAACTTTTCATTTTTACATTCTCGGTACTTCTGCTAATTTTACCCATTGATAGAATGACTCTATGATTTCTTGATAAGGAAATTGGTAATTTATTTAAATTGATCAGGAATTACTGCATAAAAAGATTGAGGAAATTGAATTGTAGCTTTTCGGAGAAATGAGAACTGTTAGATTTAGAATTAAGTAAGACATGAATTACAAAATGCTAAGTTTTAATTCTCGATTTTCTAATGCATTCTTAAAGTCAGAATTAGCCATTATTTTTGGCCAAATTAATTCATTAATAAGTTTAATTTCGTTCATTAAGTTAATTAATTATAATAACAGAAACAGCTTTAAATTTGAACACATACCAACAGACCAAGAAATGGCGATACATTCAAAAAACAGAAGCCACAAAAGTGCCCAACCGGATGCTGCATAAAAATCAAACAATTGGAATACGTAAAAACCACCCTGAAATTTTTAATGTAATTTTTAAATTCTACGCATATCTTTGTCTATTGCAAATTCTTAATGAATAAATAATAGTATGAAAAGTTTCGTTTTGTTTACTTATTTCGATTAAAAATTTTTTATTTTTTTAATTCAATCTAACAATTTAATTTTATCTTTAATCGCAAAATATTACTATTATTTCCTTCTTACCGATATTTTTTAACATTATTTATTTTCTTTGTTTCTAAAAGAATTATATCAGAAAAACAAAGCAAAGAAAATCGTCTTTACTTTTATAGTTCATGGATGAATCGATAAATTTATACATTTCCGTTTTGCTAATGTAAAGTTTCCTGAAATTTTTTAAGCAAACTTACTTTTGTAACAGTACTCAAGCCACATAAGTAGCTTATAATGCATACTCCGAGTACAAAGAATTCACGACCGTACTTTCTGCTCTGTATCAGATGCGGAAATTCATCAATGACTGCTGTGAAAAATCCCTCCATTGTACAAAACTAAATATAATTGTATATGTATTACTACAACATTTGCGCTATATGTTCTTGAATATATACACTTTGCGCATTATGAAAGAGAAAAAAAAGAACATTCAATAAGTAGTTTCGTAATGATGCACTTTATGTGCTTATGATGAATTTTTTTTGAAATTTAAATAATAAATTAGATGATTCAGTTTGAAATAATTCCAAATAAAATGAATAAAAATATGTCAACGTCTTGAAATATTAATTACCTCATTGATTCATTTTTACATAAGCAAATTTAACAAATTTCATGTTCGAAAAAGAAAAATGTGAATTTTTTTTCTCAAACGATAGCAATTAAATTTAAATTAAATTGCGACAATGTTGTAAAAAACTTGCTTGTGAGTCAATACCCAAGAATAAAACCATTGTAAAGAAGAGAATTGACCAAACATTTGTATATGGTAATTGTAGGATTCCGGATGGATAAGCCAAAAAAAGGAGACCTGGACCAGATTGTGCAACCTAAAAGCATTTTTACCTAATAAAAATTTCACAAATATTCTTAAATTTAAATTTTAGGTTTAATAGAAATTTTAAATTTAATTGAAAGTTTTCATGTAAGATATAAACTTATCAAAAAATTTTCGACAACAATCCTATTTGTAGTTTGTCATTTATATAGCTATTGAAACTAAAATTTGAATTAGTAAAATTGCTGAATTTCAACTAAATTTGACAAATTAATTAAGATTTGATTATTTGCCTCATCAACGGGTTTGCCTTGTTCAACAGCCATAAAGCCAATGAATGAAAAGATAACGAAGCCAGCAAAAACGCTTGTAGCACTGTTTACAAAGCATATTGTTAATGCTTGCCTGTAAATTTCATTAAAATTTAATGGGATTTGAAAAGTGATAATTTAAGGATAATGGTACAATAAAAAAAAAAACTGTATACCTGTAAATGTTGTTATGATACGAATTGTAACTGCCAAGTGCAACAAGAGCGCCTAGGCCGAGGCCATATGAAAAGAAAACTTGTGTGACAGCGTCCACCCATACTTTACTCTCTAGAAGCTTTTCAAAATTTGGTTTCAGATAGAATTCAAGTCCCAAACTTGCGCCTGGTAATGTTAGTCCACGTATCAGCAAACAAACAAGCATTAGATATGGAAATGATGCAGTGAGATAAACGATCTGCAAACTATCAATATTGATAATCTATCATTTATCATGTATCAGTTAAAATTCTCATTGTATCTGTTTGTTAAAAATTAAGTAATTTGCTTGAAAAATATTTTTGTAAATTATTTATAATACATTCATCATTATCTTTATCCTATTTATTAGAAGTTCAGCAATGTGATAAATTGTATAAAATATAATTGACTACTATATTCGAAAAAAAAAAAAAACAAAATTCTCAAATTTCAATTTGATAAGATAAACCTTTCCAGTCCATCGAACACCTTTAAAAATACACAGATAGCATATTGTCCAAGCAATTAGTAAAAATAAAGCGAGATCCCAACGTAATCCTCCCGGTTCCTCGATTCCAGAACTTATGCCAAGTACTTGATAACTAAAGCACTATTTAATCTTAAAGCTTTTTCGTTTTTTGAAAGAAAGTTTGACATAAGAAATTTTGCATACAAAAAAAAAAGAAATTCATTTATTTTAATTTTTAAGAATTTATATACAAACTTCCAGTATTCTTTAACAGGTGATTGTACATCCAAATCATCACTACTACAAATGGTCCAATTTGATTTTGGACCAACGAAGAATTGTTTACGATATTCGTTCAAATGATCATTTGTTAATACCTTAAATGTTAAAGTTTTTTTTTTATTTTTTTATTAATTTATCAAATCTTTCATAATTCTATTTTTTGAATTTTTAAAAATTTTCTGTTTCTTTCACAAAATTTTTTCTTTTTCTCATTTTCTTTTCTTTGAATATCCCTTAACATCCATTTACCCAAAAGTTTTAAAATTAAGAGGAAGTAGTAGCGGGAAAAAGACATCGTTTTTATTGAACCTGCACATTGAAATATTGCGCAATTGTTCTGTTTTTATCACAAGTTAGTGGTTCATATTCACTGCGACATCGAGGAGTGTTCCATCTGTAAATTATTCTTCATTCTATCAATTCTTAATTATTAATTAAATTGTTAAAAGTTTATCAAATTTCATTAATTAAGAAATAATAAAATAATTTAAATTTTTAATCGATTTCATTATTTTAACATTTTCCAAATGAATTATTTTGCATTGAGAATTATGAGAAAAAAGTTACTAATTTCTTTCATTAAATATTGAAAATTAAAAAAAAATTTTCTATTAATTTAATTTACTGATGATCACAATTTCGCCATGGAACATTTCCATCCAGTCGAATTGATTCCCATAGGTAGCACATTGCCCAACTTAGGACTACAATGTAATAAATGTTAAGCCAAAATGCCATCACTGCAGCTGCTATTCCAACACCCTATAAAATTTGATTATAATTTTTAAAAAAGTCAAAATTGAAGATCGAATCCAAATTTACAAAGATTTGAAATTAAAGATGAAATCATTACTTTGAAAATTGGACAAATTTTGAACATTCCAAGTCCACCAACACTCAGTAGCTGACCCCATGTTGTCTCGAGTATGAAAAGTGGTGCACCACAAAATATAAGAGATATCAGATAGGGTATTAGGAATGCTCCTGCAATTATTGAAATTAAAAAAAAAAAATTAGAATTGGCTATGTTCTCGGAACGCAGTTGTGATTAATTATTGATTATTTTGAACTCATCAGTTCAATAAAGACGATAAATATCCTTCATCTTCAAATTAATAAGTACATCGATTATTTAATTTATCATTTTTTTTTTATTTAACTTG